AATTGCAAGCGTATCCTACACTATGGGAGTCAATTTGAACGTCTGCGCACAGGGATTTCAGTTATCTCCTAAACAACAACAATCGATTTGCAACATCTCCCCAACGAGATTCTGTTTGAAAGCCCAACAATAGTGATCAACTTGCACAACCCGCACACAATGATTCTGTGTGTATGCCGCATAATATTCAACCATTGGCCACTGCCCATGGAGAATGTCCAAGTGTGGGACGCGATTGGTTCCACAGTGACTCACTCTTATCTGGGCAAGGCAGCGTCGCCGCAAGCGCGACGAGCAACAGTCACTGAGGATGCTGCGCAAGGGGTCTGGGGTGCTCTTGGGGGCCCTGCTTGGAAGGGGCCACAACAATGTCGAAAGCCTAGAGGGTTCAAGGCAGAAGGCTCCTAGAATGAGCATGGCGGCTCTCAGGGATTGTGAAATGCCCTTGCTGCAGTCAGTGAGAAAACTACGTGAAGATGCGACGCAACAGTCAGTGATAACACTACGTAACGACGCAATGCAACGCCCAGAAATTCACAGCAAAGCCCTGAACGAGTCGCCTGTCCTCGCCCAGAGGTCAGAGCCCATGTGCCAGTAATGCCACTGCGCAGCGCGCGCGCTGGCGTCGTACTTTCTGGTGCCCGAAAGGGCGGAGGAGCGTTGTTTGTTTTTCATTGTGTTTGGGTGTTTACAAATCGATTCCCATTGCGAGGCCACCAAACAGAATTCCCGAATAGGAATTAAGGTGCAGAACCCCACAAAATGATTTACGCAATGATTCCGGATGCACGGCTATCAAGCATAATCCCTGTGGAGCTCTACAAATTCTGTATGGTGGCCTCGCAGTGGGAATCAATTTGTAAACGCCCAAACACTGTGAAAATTCAGCTTTCCTTGTTTCCAGATTGTCTTTGTTGGGCGTTTTTGATTTACACATAAAAAATGTGATTATAAAGCAAAGCGTTTTCTGGTCCCACATATTCCCTTGTTTGTCTTTTTCGTCGGCCAGGCCCCCCCTCTCCCCCCGAGCCAGGCGCAATGGGATTCAATGTGGTGGCCGCACAATGGAAATCAAATTGTAAATGCCTAAACACTGTGAGAAAAAAACACACACAGGTTTCTGTGTTTCTAAACTTTTTGTTTGTGGTTTGGGGCTTACGCTTAAGGACAAATTGACATGTTTGTAAAACAAAAAGGGCTTTTGGTCCCCCAAATTGTTGTTGTTTGTCGTGGTTTGTCTTGTTTGCCTGTTTCGTCGGCCAGCCCCCCCCTCTCCCCCCGAGCCAGGCGCAAATGGATACTATTTGATGGCCGCACAATAAGAATCCATCTGCATTTCTTTATAAAATGGTACCAATCGTCTCCCAGACAATAGGGATCAATGTGTGTTGCCCCGCAACAGAATTTCAGTTGAAGGCCGCGCATCAGGAATCAAGCTGTAAGTCTGTACAGAGGATACTGTGCAAGAAGTCATGGTGTAAACAAGCGCAACACAGTCACATTTTGCTGAAGCAAAAAACACAAGAACAAATAGATCACAGGAGGGGCACTTACCGTACATATATACATATATATATATATATATACATATATGTATATATGTGGATATATATATATATATATGTATGTATGTATATATATATATATATAATACACACATAAAGACAATCGGATTATGTGGGCCATCCACGGGGAAACATTGCGGGGACGTTCTAGCTATGTCGCCAACCCCTGGATATGGAAAACGGCCCAGCAAGTTCCCGCACATGGCTTACTCATCCACTGCCTGTGCCACGTGCTCAGTCGCCCGTGCCCTAGGCCGCCCTGCGAATAGCACGGCATGAATTGACACCATACTCCCGTGGATTGTCACGAGGACCGCACAGACGCACGTGTTCTCTCCCCTGGTGTATATGACGCGTTCGATTGCCACACAATTTGGGTTTCCCCGTACACACCAAGCCCTCCCGTACACACCATCCATTATGAAGCCCTTACTAGACACGCTCAATTCTCGCAATCCGTATATACCGAGGTCCTGTGACATTGCCATGTACACAAAAGGTTCTGTCGGTGATCACGCCAGATGTGTTCCTGGGTTTCGAACGCCATGTTCGGGCCTGCCCCGGGTTTGCCGCCGTCTCTGTTAAACACAACCATAGGATGCGATAGGATGCGTGGCAAATTGAAAATTGGCGCGGGCATTGGAGCATCGTCACCTCGGGAGCTGCCTCTTTTCACCCAGCACCCTGGTGTATATCATGTGAGCTTCCAATTCTGGGGCCCACACGACGCCGCTCCCGAACCCGTTGTGCGGCAACTTGACGTGTTTGCGTCAGCCGAACCCCCTGATTCTGGCAGCCACTCACGAGAGACACATACGAACGATCCACACACTGGGCTGCTAAGGTCCTCCTCCTCCTTCTTTTGAGCAAGCGGTGAACCCCTTGGAATAGAACCCCGTTCAACGTGTAGAGGCCGCCCCCCGGGCGACATGGCCCAGAAAACACTCACTCCACGACAAGCGGAGGCCCAAGCCGCAATAGATATTTGCGCTGACGAGATTGGCAGTGGCCAGGGGCGATCCTCGTGCAGGGGGGGGCATCTGGCATGAACCTCGACGACAACACATCGCGCAAGTCGCGCTAAAATGCGGGTGCCATGAAATTCACGGGACGGGCAGGGTCCCTGAAACGACGGGATGTCTGGGCAATGTCTATGAGACCTGAAGACCATCAACCTCGCGATAAGAAGAAACGCCCGAGTGCGGCGCATCACGGCCATCCTGGCGGAAGTCGTCCACCACGAGGCGAGGCGGAAGAGGTCGCCCGTATCAAAGACAAACCAACTCCAGAACGACCCCTTACCCCGCTGAGATGGCAGACGCGAGGGCCACGTTTTAGGGCCGCGCACTGCGCCACCTGCGCGCGAAAAACAGCAAACAGTGATCTGTCAGGAATAATGCGCGAACGGCGGGGTTCTGCATCACAGGGTTGACCGTGCCATGGATTCTCAGGGACTCGATTCCCCAAGCTCGCGCAAGAAGCCAAGGCACTCAGCTGAAAGCCTGCACCCGACTTCTCGATTTCATCGTGACGTGGGAGCCCGAACCCATAGTCCCCATGCTGGGGACCGCCTCCTCGTCCCAGGTTATCTTGGGACTGTCTGGCCCAATGCCCGAGACGGGCTTCCAAAGACCACCACGCAAAATGAGAAACGCCGCCTCGAGTTCCCCATGACGCGAGATGTCTGGGAGTATGCACCTCTTCCCCGCCCTGGGAGAGGCTCAGTGTATGTATACACCACGTCGTTCGGTCGGACAAGGACCTCGGTGCATCGGCGCTCCGCCTTTGCAACTCGTGGGACGCTGGAGCGTCTCGTCGGCACGCTGATTGGCTCTCTGGTCGCCCAGACGACGAGGAGTATACGTCGAGCCCCTCGATCCGTCGCCCCCTCCCCATTTCTCGTCGCCCGCATTGCCCCGCAATGCTCCGCCCCGGGCGTCAGCCCCCCTGGAGACTATACCCCGCTCGCTTGGGGGCCGCGTCACTCAGCGCCGGCCACGCCCTCGGCAGGCTGGGTCAGCAAGCCATCGCCGTCCATCATCGCCGCCAGCGCCACCTCCAGGGACTCCTGCGGAGCCTCCCAGACCCCCGACGTCGTGACTTCTGCACAGCGTCGACCCACAGAGCTGCGAGCCCATTCCCCGGGACCCGTTTTCGTCCTGAGCCGTTTTGTTGACGGTCCCGAGGCCCGGTGAGGGCCCCCAGCGGCCGAAGACAGCGAAAAGCCTCCCGCCGGGATTTTGGTCACAGCGCCAGGGGCTCTGGCCTCCTCGCCCCCGCGTGCGGCGCTGGTCGCGCCGGCAGGCGCTCCGACGCCGGGGGTGCCGCCGGTCGCGGCGGGCGCGGCGCCGGGCCTCGGCGGCCCGAAGAAGCTGCTCAGCGGCCGCGGCGCGGGCGCCGAGGTCGCCGGCGGCGCGGCGGGCCCCGCGGCCGCCACGGCGCGGGGCTTCTTGGCCGGGTGCGGGTCCGCGGCGCAGGGCCCCGAGGCCGCGGGGCGCTTCTGCTGGCCGAAGAGCAGCTGCTGGAGGGCCGGAGGGCCGGGTGCTGCCAGAGGTGCCCCTGGCCCGAGGAGCCCCCCAGGATTTCTCCGGCGAGGCCCCCACTAGGCCTCCTCTGGAGAGCACCCCTCGCGAGGCCCCTCTGGGCCCCAGGGGCTCCAAACTTGAGCGATGAGCCTGACCTTCCAGAGAGCTATTTTTTAGCACTGGAGGCCTAAAAGCCTAAAAAACTTAACGAAACAGCCTAAAACCAAGACGTCGAAAAGCTCTGGGATAGGTTCTTAAGTCGGGTGCCATCTTTTAGCCCTCCTGAAAGGTCAGGGGAGCTGGGGGCGCCTCGGGCCAGGGGCACCCTTGGCGACGCCCGAGAGGGTCGGGGGCCGGGGCCGCCGCGGGGCCTGCGGCGGCCGCGGGGTCCTGCGCGGGGTCTGAGGCCTCCGCCGGCGGCGGCGCGCCGAGGGCTGCCTGCGGGGGCGTCGCCCGCAGCGGGCGCCTGGTCCGCCCTGTCTCGCGCGCGCTTCGCGCCGCACGAGGCGCGAGGTGCGAGGCGCGGCTGTGACTCGCGCGCTCGCGCGGTCCCCTCGCGGGGAGATGGGAAGCCGTCTGGCCCAGACCGTCAAGCGCGAGGCGCGACCAGCTTCGCGGCACTGCGGGGGCTGACCTACCTGGGGTGCGGAGGGGGCCCGGCGGAGTCCAGTCTGCCGCGGAAGAGGAGGATGAGTGGACACAGACGCGGAGGAACAGGAGGGGCAGGGACACGACGACCACGACGAAAGGTGGCGAAGGAACTGTCTACGCCCCGCGGCCTCTTTCTGCTGCTGCTCCCGAAGCTGCTCCAGCAGGCGGACGCCTGGAGGGCGAAAGTCGGCCGGGAGCAGGTCTGGATAGAGCGACGCGACCTTGGCCGCTGTGGGGGGCAACTGGGCCTGGAGGAACTTCATGACGTGCTGCACGCCGATCGTCGTCTTCTTGGCAGCTGCGAGCGTCCGCCCACGGCCCATCTTCCTGGCCTCGGGCGCGTGCCGCTGCCGATCTGGGCTGACCGCCGGCCCGACCCGCGCCGCGCCCGGTCCGGCGAGGCACCGCGCCGATCGAGGGGCGGCCTTCCAGGCGGGCCAGCCGGCTTCCTGGAAGGGTGCCAGCCCCCCTTTGAGAACCGTGCTCCCCACGCCTCCTGATCGCGCGAGTGTAGCGCAGGGCAGGGTCTCGAGCGGGGATGGATCGGGAACCTCTGAGAACCGCCAGGCCTGGGCGATGTATCGGGCGCCGCGGCCGTTCCAGAGAGCTCCAGGACCAGAATGCCCTGAGATTGTTCTGGAACGCTCTGGTGAGGTCATCCTGGGCCTGCCTGAGTCAGAGGTGGGGGGGGGGGGGGGGGGCGAAGGCCGCCAGACACCTGCACTTCGTCGTAGAAGGAAGGTGTGGCGGGGGGGGGAACGACTGTCATTCAGTGTGAGTGCGGCCGCTTCCAAGTTCCAGGGCCGACAAAGCAACGACCCGCGCGAGGCAGGAAACTGGTCCCTGGTACGACGGGGTCGAGAACTCCAATGGGCCAGGTCGTGAAAAACCAACAACGCAAAGCTGGAGGCCTGATGACCCTGTGCCAATCTGCGCGCGATTGGGCCGGGCCGACTCAGCCCTCCGATGCCGCGATTCGGGGCGTACCCCCATTATTGTTCGCGAGGTGCACCGGACTAATTTGATTGCCTGACTGGCTGACTGCCTGGCTGACTGCTACGTCTTCCTTTCGCAGAATTGCCGCCAGAGCCATCTGGTCCTCACGGCCCCTCCTGGCGGACTGGGAAAGGCTACAAGTAAAAGTTTGGAGATACGGTGCGCCACTGGTGGGTGAGCACACTCGGACTGGTCGCACCCATGAGGCGGCCGTTTCCTCGTCAGTGGCCGAGTGCGCAGCCTGTGGCGCAAGCGCCCGCAGGCCATTTCGGCTTCGGTCGCCGAGTGCGCAGCCCACCGGGCAGAAATAGCAGGTCGGTTTGGCTTCGGCCGCCGAGGGTGCAACTTTTGGCGCCACCAAAGGCAACATGTTCTGTCCTCGGTCGCCGAAAGCGCAACTTTTGGCGCAACCAGCAGCAAGCCGTGAGCTCTCGGAAGCCGAGTGCGCCACCCATGGCGCAACCACCAGCAGGACGTTCTAGATTCGGCGGCCGAGTGCGCAACCCATGGTGCATACCACCAGCAGGCGATTTCAGATTTGGTTACCGTCGTTTCATTCTCGGCCGCCGAGTGCGCAGCCGACAGCATAATGCAATTAGCTACATACCATGTTAGCTTCGGCCGCCGAGTGCGCAACCTACGTGTATGGTGCAACCCATGGTCGCCTCGCGGATGGCGCAACGAATGTCGCAGCCCATGGATGGCGCCATCCATGGCGTAACCCACGGATCGAGCAACCCATGGGTCGCGCAACCCACGCAAACCACGGATGGCGCAACCAATGGCGCAGCCCATGGACGACGCAACCTATGGCACAGCCAATGGAGTGACAGATGGCGCATCCCATGGATGGCGCAACCCATGCACGGCGCAACCCATGGCGCAACCTGTGCATGCCGCAAGCCGTGCATCGCAAAAACTATGGCGCAACCCATGGACCGCGCAACCCATGGCGCAGCCCATGGATGCTGGACCCTGTGGCGCAACCCATGGCGCGCCGCATGGGTGACACACACACACACACATGCACTTACACTTTGTAGGCGATCGCGGCCTCGCGCGCAGCAGCGAGGCGGAGAAAGTCCCAGGCAACAAGGGCGCGCGCGCGGTTGGCCCCTCAGAAGAGGGGGCAGGGCTCTAAAAGGGATCGAACTTTGCCATGCGCATACCAGGGCATTGGCAGCGAGGGAGATGGGGTGCAGGACACACCAAAGAGGCAGGCAAGTAGGTGCAACGTGCGGCCAGGCGGCCGAGACGAGACGAGCGGAGCGAGGTGGGCCAGCTACCCGCCGAACAGGGAGGCCGAGGCGGGCACTGCACGGCCGAGCGGCCGGCAGCACGGGGTGTGGCCGCGTGGACGCGGGAGCAACGCCTTACGGGCATGGTGCCTAGGCGAGGAAGAGGGGGGGTGGCGTCATCGCACCCCCCACGCACTTTTTGTTCCTCGGGTCGAGAGCGCACCTCTTCCGGTCGAAGAAGCTGAGCGGGCCGCGCGAAGCTTGAAATAGGCAGAGAAGAGGAGGGAGGAAGCGGCGGAGCCTCAGAGCGAGGCCGAGAGGAGGCATAGCCTCGGATACAGGACCCCCACACACACACACACACACACACACACGAACAAGCAAAAACCCTCTTCGGGCACGCGCGGCCGAGGCAGAGAACAGCCGCTCGCACACTCGTCGAGCCCCGGGCCCGGCGAAGCGAACCGATACGCCGGGCTGCGGCGCGGGCGACGCTCCCGGCGGCTGGCCTCGGGCATGTCGCGGGGAGCAGCGGGCGCAGCGGCGCCGCGCGGGCACCGGGCGAGCAGGGACCCGCGGAAGCGGCGGCGGGAAGCGGGCGGCGGGCCCCCCTGGGGCAGGGCTCGAGGCCGCTGCAGGTCGCTCGAGGCAGGAACGTGCCACAGAGGGCTGCAGGAGCCCACCCCAGAGAGGACACGCGAGGAGGGCACAGAGGGCTGCAGAAGCCCATTCCAGAGGTGACGCGCGGGAGGGCTCAGCAGGCACTTCCCCTCCGCAGCAGCAGAAAACCTGCCTCAGAGACGCATCGCGAGTCGCTCTGAGCTCCCGGCGCGGACCGCCCACGCGGACGCAGGAGTTCCAGAACCCTGGAGGGTACTGGCACGCAAAGATCCATTGCAGATTGCCCTGGACCCGAAAAATGCCCCCCCAGAGGCAAAACAAAGACAAAAAACAACGAGACGAAAATCAATATGGTAGAACTCTGGGGACCTGAACCTCCAGTGTTTCAATTTTTCCAAACTTGGACTCCCAACGAAGGCTCAACCCATTCCCCGCGGGGACCTGTTTTCATCCTGGCATGTTACTCGTTTTTTACGCTCCTGGGGCCCGATGAGGACCCCCGAGAGACCGAAAGTTGGCAAAGACCTTCTGTCGTTGCTTTTCCGACGCGGCGGGGTATGGGATCTAGCGTCGGGTCACTCACCCTGGGCTCATCTCACCCAGGACGTGCGCATGCCGCAAAATGGCCACCAGAGACCCACGAATGTCTAAAAACGTCCCGAGGATAACCGCCGGGGCTGGGAACACACAGCCGCAAACATCGACGGGCGTCCGCGGGTCGCGACTGGTAGTAGTGGCCATCGACGTTCCACCGAACAGGTCGCAGCCGCAGCAAAATCGCAAGCGACCAGTCCCACCGCTCGCGACAAGAGGGAGAGGAGGGGGAGGAGAGGGAGGAGGGGGAGGCGGGGGAGGAGGGGGAGGAGGGGGAGGAGGGAGGAGGGGGGAGGAGGAGGGGAGAGGAGGGGGGGGGGAGGAGGAGGGAGGAGGAGGAGGAGGAGGAGGAGGAGAGGAGGAGGGAGGGAGGAGGAGGAGGAGGAGGAGGAGGAGGAGGAGGAGGAGGAGGAGGAGGAGGAGGATCTTCAGAGGGGGCCGCCGCCATCGAGAATCCGTCGGGGGGTTGGCCGACCACTGCCACCGACGCTCGGGCGTGCCCACCGCCCAGGGGCCGCGCCGCCCCCCCACCCCGTGGGCTCTCGGTCGCAGGGGTCCACTGTTTCCCCTTCGGGATCTGGAACCGCTCCTGAGGGGCAACGATAGGGGGGGAGGGGGCAGCTCAGGGGGGGGAACGTCGAGCCCGACATCGCCGATGCATCGCCGATGCCCCGGCGATCGGGCCCCGATGGCAAAAGCCAGCGCGCCTGGGCGGGGTGGGCTATCGGGCCCCCATGAGCGATGGAGGGGCGACTGGGGCGCGATGCATCCCCCGCTGAGCCTGTCCCCCCTACTGACCCTCCTCCTCCTCCTCCTCCTCCACCTCCTCCTTTCCTCCTCCTCCTCCTCGCCGTCGTCCTCGTCCTCGTCCTCGTCCTCGTCCTCCTCCTCCTCCTCCTCCTCCTCCTCCTCCTCCTCCTCCTTATCCTCATCCTCCTTCTCCTCCCCCGGAAATGCCCCTGAGACCTGGGATCGTCCCAGATCAGCTCTGGCCAACCCGAGCTCCCGGCGCGGTCTCCGCCCCCGCGGCCCCAGGGATAACTCGCGCCCCCGCGCCGCCTGCCCCAGAGGAAGGGCAGCCGCTCTTAACTAGCCTCGAGAGCTAAGACTGACAAGCCCAAGGGCGATGATACTCTTAGGGATATGCCCTCGAAAACTGAGGGACCCCCTGAGTAGTAGAAGAAGAAAAAACGCCATAACACACAAACTTGTGGCGCTCCGCGCGGAATTCTTGGATCCGCGCTGGACCCCACTCCCTGGCGCGCGGAGCGCGCCAGTGTCTTAGTGAAAACGACCTGAGGCCCAAACCTGACGGGCGCAAGCCTGGAAAATAACGGCCACGGCGCCCTCTCGAGAACCGAAAGCGGACAATTCACTAATCGACGTGTCACTGCTGAGGGCTCTGTCCACCCCCGACCACTCCTAGGGAGAAGGATGCGCCCCAGGCCGGTGATTCAACTCTGGCCCGGCCCGCGGGGCGCGCGGGGCGCGAAGCGCGATTGGAGCCCTGCGCCCACGCGGGCGACCTGCCGGGGATCGCCCGTCCCGAATCGGGTCGCGCTGCCGGCGCGAAAACGAGGGGTCGGGGGAGGGGGGAGAGGCTCTAGGTCGGGCATGTCCTCCCACAGGGGGGTCTTGAGGGGAAAATGAAAAGTTATCAAGAAAAGCATAAACATATAATGATAATGATAATACTAATAATACTAATACTAATAATAATAATAATACGAATGATAATAATAAGAAAAAATAGAGACAATCATAATGATAATGATGATGATGATAATGATAATAATCATGAAAATAAAGAATCATAATAACTAGAAGTACTAATGATAATAATGATAATAATACTAATACTAATAATAATAATACTAATAATAATAATAAGAATAATAATAATAATAATAATAACAATGATAATGATACGAATAATACTAAAAATACTAATACTCATAATCATAAGGATAATACGAATAATAAGAATAATAATCGCCCCCATTCAATGTTTTGTGCTACTTTGGATGTTCCTCCTGTGGAGGGGCATGCCCGATTTCAGGAAAAGGCTTCTCAGAAGGCACCTTCCTCTTAGAAGGTGCCAGCCGCCTTTCTTCTAAGAAGCCAGGGGCGCGCCGCTTCGAAGCAGCACCCGCAGCAGCTTCCTGTGCAGGCACGGGCGCCGGGAACAGCTTCCAAAAGGAGCAGCCACGAGCTTCTGAGCAGAAGGGGCGCCCGCGCCTTCCAAGAAGTGTGTGGGGGGGGGGGTTCTAAGAGGCCTTCCTCCCTCCACCTATGCCCCTCTGCGCGTGGGCCGACTCAACGCAAGGGTGACCCTGGGTGAGAGTGACCTCTTCGGTGCTCGGTTTTTCGGGGGTCCGCGGGGGGGGCCGAACACAGGCGCGCAAGACGCCACCCTGCCGCCTCGCGCTCGGCGATCGGGGGACCCACTTTGGGCCCGCACCCAAAGGTCACTCCGGCGAAAGGTCACTCTTACGTCTATAAAACAGGGCTAGGATCGGGATAAATCGCTCCAGAGCGTTCCGGAGCGCTCTCAGAGCGTTCCGGAACGCTCTGGAGCGGCCGCGGCGCCCAATACATCCTCCAAACCCGCCGACTCTCAGAGATTTCGAGCTATCCCGATCCGATTCTGTCCCGATCTTCGCGTCGTTTTAGTCTGGTCGAGCGGGGGGATCATGCCGCCCCGAGCGCCCGGCGCGGTCCGCCTCCGCCTGTCGGGTCGGGCGAAAGGGGGGGATAGCAAAGGAGGGGCTTGAGAATCAGCTCACGTAGCTGATTCTCCCGGCGCCTCCCGGCGCCGGAAGCGGCGGCCATGTATCGAGGACCGGGCCCCTCGGTGAGGCCGAAACCAGCTGCATGGAGCAGATTTCGTAACCCCCCCTTTCCCAATCCCCCCCTCTTCGCCCGGCCCGAGCCTGCGCCTCCGCGAGGGCGCGGTCCGTGGCGTAGAGCACGAAGGCCTGGGCCACGCGCTGCAGGCCGGCCACGGCCTCGCTGCTGATGCGGGCGCCGGGCGGCGCGGCGCTCCTGCGCGGCGAGGGGAGGAGGAGGAGGAGGAGGAGAGGAGGAGGAGGAGGGAGGAGGAGGAGGAGGAGGAGGAGGAGGAGGAGGAGGAGGAGGAGGAGAGAGGGAGGAGGAGGAGAAGGAGGGGAGGAGAGAGAGGGAGGAGGGGGGATGGGGAGGGGGAGGGGGGGAGGGGGGGGGGGGGGAGGGAGGGAGGGTGAGGGGGAGGGGGAGGGGGAGGAGGAGGGGGAGGGGGAGGAGGAGGAGAAGGGGCCGCCGGGAGAGGGGCACGGAAGCGGCGCGGCCATAGCCTCGCCATCGCTCGGACGTCCATTCCCTGTGCTTTTTGTCGGTTTGGGGCGTGGTTTTTTCGCGAGGTAATCAAGGGTGCCCCTCGATGGTCCTCGCCGAGGGAAACATGCACACGTCCGAGCGATGCCAGGTAGCAGGTGGGAGCGAAGAGCGTGCTTCTCGGCTGCTGCTAAAGTGAAGTCGGGCCTGTCCCCCTACAGGCCTACAGGGGGATTTTGGACGGAAAATTAAGCATAGCCGAAAAATACCCTAAAATATTCAAAAATGATAAAAAAAAATCGCGCCCTGACTATTTTTTTAACTATGTTTGAATCTTCCTCCTGTATAGAGGGACAGGCCCGACTTCATGCGAAAGTGCCCCTGGCCCAGGGTGCCCCCCAGGATGTCCAAGAAGGCCCCCACGCGCTCCAGAGCACCCCATCACGATGCCCGGAGGGCCCCAGGGGCTCCACAGAATGGAGCGAAACGCTGGGGTACCTCGGGCCAGGTGCACCTCTGGCAACCCCGTATTTTCTGGTTACGGCGCGATTCGCCCACGAAGCGTTTCCCTGTCCCAATTAGCTCTAAAACGCAGCGCCGCCGGGCCAAAGCAGAGAAGCGGCCAGGAAGCCAGAAACACGCATGGCGAGTTCCAGAAACCGAGCATTCACCAGACAATGCCATCTCTTGGATAGCCGATCCTTACTTCCACCGGATTCCAGCGGCCTTCTGCCAGCGCAGCCGCCCCCGCTTTGCGTCCGCCGGCTGCCGCCGGCCTTTGGCCAGCTTCCGCGGAGGGAAACATGTCAACTCCGCCAGCCCTCGAAGGCGAGGCCCTTGCTTCTCTCATACACCATCGGGGATGGACAGACCCCCCTTTAGCAAAGTGTGGTTCAGTGAAGACGACCCGAGGCCCAAACCTGGCGGGCGCAGGTCTGGAAAAGAACGGCCACGGCGCCCTCTCGAGAACCGAAGACGGACAATTCATCAATCGACGTGTCACTGTTGGGGGCTCTGCCCAAGCCCCCGACACCACGTGGCGGAGCCCGCTTGCGGCACACGTGGGGGGGCCGCGCGCTGGACACTCGTGCGGAGAAGCCCGTTGTGCCCGGCCTTAGTGGAAGGACTTGGCGCGCCCGCAAGCCACTGTTTGCGACACCTCGGCCACACAGCAAGGCCAGTGCGACGTGTTGAACATTGGCACTGGCCCGACGCTTTGCTGCATGTGCGTCCGGCTCTCGCCCGGGCCAGCCGCGCCATGTGCACCCCGATGCCTAGAGCGTCCTTTCCAGACCGAAGCCTGTCCGCGGCGAAGGTGATGCTTGTAAGTAGTCTCCAGTGTCCTGGTGAGCAGGAGTATACTCCTGCTCGAGTAGGAGCAGAGTCAGCGGGGGCGTGGGAGTAGGAATGGCGTGTCGAGGCAGCAGCAGGATGCCACCAGGCCAAACAGAGACGCGCCCGGAGGACCCCCCTCGAGGGTCGAGGCTCGAGGACCGGTGCCTCGCGGATCGACGCTCGAGGCTCGGGATTACGAACGATGCGCCACCTTTTGGTGTCTCCAGGAAGCCTCGCTTCGCCGCGGCTGGACTGCCAGGACATGCCTGCCCAAAGCGCACCCCGCGACGAGTCCAGGTGCGGGGCCTCGACGGCTGGACTGCCCCCAAGAGACCACCACGGCTTCCTGCTGGAACTCTGCGCCTCTTCGCCGGAGCGTTGAGGACCGTGCGGCGGACGAGTGTTAAGTGCCCGAACCGCTTCGTCATCCTGGCGCCCTGGAGAGCTCGCTGGACCCGCCCTGCTAGTATTGGGGACGCCCCGCACGCTACCATCAGCGATGTCAGCACCAAGGTTGCCCTTCGCGCCAGTTGCGGGCGCGACGTCGCACAGGTGAGGCGCCACTTTTACGACAACCACAGCAGATGCGCCCGCGTGGAGGGCCCCCTCCCCGCCCCTGAGGCGAACTAGCGGCCATCTCCACGGCAGCTCCTTCTCACTGGACTCGGCGACTCCGAAGGGTGTGGTTTGCAACGGGTGCGGTTTGCAATCGGCACCCTGGGGGGCACCCTGGGGGGCGGGCGGTGACCTCGACAGAGCTCTCCGCCGCACCCCGCGAAGAGGCCCGACGAGGACAGTGTCGTGCCATCCAGGCCCCAACGGCGCCGATCGCAAACCACACCCCGGCGTAACCACACCCTTTGCAATCGCCGATGAACGACATCAAGCTCCTCATGTGGGTCTGGACCCGGGGGCAGCATTGGAAGATGCAACGGTCGGTCAGCACCACGTGCGCTGGTGACAGCAACTCCAAGGCCCCCCCGGCAAGCGAGTTGCAGGCTTCCCTCGACCAGACCGTCTTTCTCGACAAGTGGTCTGGGCAGAAAACCGATCTGGGCCCTGTGAGAAGAACTCAGCCGCCAGGCTGCGGTCCTCCACCTGAACGAGCACCCACTCAAAAAACAGCATCAGGAGACACTGGTGGGGAGATACATCAACTTTGCTCCCAGTGTCGACGGCCTTAGCGCCAACGTCTAGGCAACGGCCGACGCCAGAGAAAAAAAGGCCATCAATAGACTACCGCGTATCGGACCTCTTCCCCGAAGGCACTCAAGCGAGAGCGGGTTCGGTCAGGCTGCTGGCGGCTAGCATGTGCACCGCGGGAACAGACATCCAAGCGCCCAGTGCGAAGGGTCAAATACCTGTACAACAACGATGCGTTCACTACCATCAGACCCAAAGGGCGTTCCTGGATCTCACAGTTGGCGCCATGCGCTTTAGCGATCCCAGGCCACGCTTTCAAAGTCGGCGCTATCATCAAAAGCGAGGCGCTGATGGGGCTGAGAAGGCAAGCGCGGAGATACACCAGTCCCAACGTCAAAGCCAAAAGGTGACATAGCCACGCACAGTCCTTCCCAGTGGGCGGACTTGTCGGCAGACTTTATCAGCAACACACTGCCCAACTCGACCAGCCATGGCCCGACTTCGCCACCCTGTACGACGCCTGGGGCACCCGTCTTTGAAGGGGCCCCAGGACACACAAATAAATACACACAGATAAAAGGATTACCCATATTTTCCTATATTTCCTGGGTTTTTGTCTTCCCCCCCCTTCCCATATTTTCCCATATTTTCTGGGGAATCGACGGTTAATTGTGTCTGTGTGTTTTTGTTGTCCCTTCGGAGTCTTTCATGGGCTCACGAGCCAGCCGGTCTCTGCATGCGCATGCCCAGGGCCTCGCAGCGGACAATCCCTCCTCCGAGGCGCCCTCACCACCAGACGTGGTCTCGCCGCCGCCGCAGAGCAGAGCAGGGCCCCGGCTGCTCTGCCGACCCCGCGGCTCCTCACCACCAGAGGCGAGGCCACGCGCGCTGCCTGGCAACCCGGCCCCCCTCTGCAGACACACTTGGCGGGGGCGACCGCCTTAGTGGGCCCTGGAAACGACAGGGCCGTTTTTGTTACCGGTTCCAACGCCGTCTCTTACCGGTTCCGTCGCCGTTTTTTGATCGGTTCCGGCTCCGGTTCCGTTTTTTTCCCGTTTCCGGTCGCCGTTTTTTTTGCCGTTTCCATTTTCAAGGGACATTTTTTTGGAAACGGTGAAAAAACGGCCCTGCCGTTTCCGGGGCCCACAAGGGCGACCGCACCCCACAGAGGAGGGGCAGGGCTGGCACCTCGGCGGAAACCCACGCCCGTGCTGGGAGGACCAGGGGGCCGCCACCAAAAGCGTGATCACCGAGCAGCAGTGGCAGGACCTCCCGCCACACGCCAGGCACCGCGGCCTCCCAGAGGGTGACCCCGCTCTGCTCGACCCGCAGGCTGCCCTGTCTGAAGACAGCTCTCGCAGCCCATCCCGAGAGCAGCCCACGGGGACCCGAATGAAGAGTCCGACCAAGAGTACACCGGTGAGCACGGGGGCAGATGGGTATACGCGACGACTGACGGGGCTTGCCCTGAACGAACTCATGCCCCTCTTGGCCAGGGCTGGTTTCGGGCTCTACTAGGGGCCTGACAACCGGCTCAACCATTCCGCCCGCGTACACGGTCTAGCACAGTCCGCGCAACGGGGAGTAGGCCATCGCAATGCCTCATCTGGTCGCCACGGCCGAAAGGCCAGCACACGCTTTCGTCGACAACCACGCGGTCGTCGACGGGCTCGCAGACCTGCCTAAAAGGAACAAGGCCACAACGAGAGGGCCCGCAAACCGACCTTTGGCAGTATATCCACTGGCAGAAGAACAGATCTTTGGCAGAAAGTACATGCGGAACCAGACTTGTTCAAAATCTCAAATGTGGAAAGCCACTTGGAATAAAAACATCAACGATGGGTGCATCACTCTGGTTGTCACAGCTTTTAACCAACATGCGGATGCCACCTGAGGAACGAGACTCCGCAACATCCCACATAGCGTGGCCGACGCCGCCAAGTGGCGACACGTGCGCCGCTCTCTTTCACACCACGGCCGTCGCAATGTACGACCTGCGACACCAAACGCTACCACCCCCAACAGAATAGCGGGGCACTCCAGGTCGGAGCTCCCCAAGATGGCGCCAAACACACTCACGATCGGTCAGAGGGGGGCACGGTCCAGGCACACAAGGAGGACCACCTCCAATGGAAGGGCCACCAGTTCGCGACCATTTCGACGAACTGGACGACCCTTGGCCCTCACCCACGGACGACTTCGAAGGTGAGGACCACGACCCTAAGACGGTGACTTCCCCTCACGCATTCATCCCT